GGAGCATAAATTTCTGGAAATTGTTTTGAAATGCAGATTTTAGTGTATCTAGAGCTGATTTCTTTTTTTCTGTTTTTGAGACAGGGATACAGATATGCAGTTCAGGCTGGCCTTGAGCTTACTTTGTAGCTCAGGCTGGTCTCAAACTCACAACAATCCTCCTGCCTCAGCCTCCTGAGTGCTGGGATTATAGGTATGCACCACCACACCCTGCCTGAGCTGATAATTCTTGCAGAACAATTTCTCTTAAAAGATAACTTCTTATAAAACAATTTCTATAAGTCTGAATTTAGTTTACAATGTTCATTTGTATAGTGGCATATGTGGTTTTCAGGGTTTTCTCTGACATTCCCTATAACTTGTGCATGTGTTATAAGAAACTAAAAATGTTTTTATGTGTATATAATTTTAAATGCCTATTTATGGATTCTAATATGGATTAATTACAAAGAAAATTATTTTTTTCTATTTATTAATTGATCAAGAAAGTTTTCATATGAAAACAGTAAATGCTCTTACCGGGCCTGTTGGCACATGCCTATAATTCCAGTTGGTCAAGAGGCTGAAGCAGGAGGATCACAAATTCAATGGACATTTAGTGAGACCATCTCAAATTTTTTTTTATTTTAAAGAGCTCAGTGGTAGAGTACTTGCTTAACATGTACAAGGCCCTGGGTTCAATCCTCATTATCAGGAAGGGAGAGGGAGGAAAGAAGGGAGGGACTGCGAGAGGGAAGAAGGCATGGAGGGAGGGAAGGAGGAGTGGAGAGAAGGAGAAAGAGAGGAGAAATTGGTTCTTTTCTCTATAGAATGTGAAGAATTTATATTTCCAAGACTTGGGATATTTGCTTTGCAATGTTAACGATGGTTTTTAGCCAGCGATTCTAAACTCTCCAAGGAATTCTAATTACTCCCTGACATCACCTATTATAATGTCTGTGTACATTTTTATTTCATAATAATTGACAAACTTTTCTGCCTGGCTGGTGGCAGTCTCTGTCCAGTGCTCAGCGGAGGGTTGATATTTGTGTATGCGCATCAGGGAGGGCTCCTGAAACTGATGGACAAGCTGGCCTTCCACATGCATTCCAGCACTGTTCCTCCGTATATGGAGCTCCCCCGCTCTCCCATGGACAGCTTCTGCTGCAGCCCCCACCCCCCGTGTCACTGACACAGGCCTGTGTTTTGGTACAGTATCACCTAAAGGATCCCTGAAGCCTGGAGTGTGTAGGTGTCCCTCATCCAGCCTGGCTGCTTAGCGTGCGTGTTGCCCATGGCTGCCCAGCTGATCTCCTGCACATATTTTATAATCCCAACAACTTAATTTGGAAATCACAAGTTCAAAGGTGCAGCTAGAAAGAATATGAAGACCAGGACAGCAGAGCAGTAAACCAGCATTCTGAGAGCACGGTGCCCAGATAACACGCTCTAAAAACCAGTCGCAAGCCCAGTGGTTCTCAACTAGAGGTAACTTTGCCCATCAGGGTGATTGACTTCGAGCTCTCTTGCACTGGATGCAAGCTGAGTCCCGAAAAGAAGAGTGACAGGATATGTTAGCACCAAAACAGACCTTGAACAAGATCCATCACTGACAAGCACAACAGCCATCTCACGGCCACTATGCCATGATTTCCAGCAGAATATCCTGGAAGACCGCAGCACAGAGCAGCTCCTACACCTGCTTCCACTGCACTCCCCTTTCTTGGGAGACAGCCAAGTGAATACTGAAAGAAGGAATGTTGATGGCAACTGAATTGGAAATTTCCTGGGTAAGACTTCGTTACTCAAGAAACCATCAAGATGGGTCCAATTTGGGGTAAGGATTCAAGTTGTGACAGCTGTAACATCTCAGCTGGTGACTTGAAGGTCATTGTATGTGTTGACATCCAGGAACAAATGGAACTCACACCTAGCCTGAGATTTGGAAGCAATACAGTTCATTTCTCATTTAAATTTCATTGGTCATGATTCAGGGCATACAGCTGTCCTTAACTATTGTGCAGCTGGGAAATGTAGCCCAGTTCTGTTCCAGAAAGAAGTGGATGTGGTTTTCATAATCAGTTACCAGCCTTTACCGTATGAAATTTGCAAAAATGGAAGCTTTGGAGGAACATATGCACACTCTGTCTCCAGCCCTTCCAAGCTAGGCATCGATAATGTGGACATTTGGCCTGTTGGGCCAGGCGTTCCCAGAGGCAGCTTTGAAGCTGTGATTCCTGGTACTCACTGATGTGGTCAGTGCACATTACAGTTTATACCCCGGAAAAAACATGCGTGGAGCATCAGGTGTCAAACAAGCATCCGGAATGCTGACCCTTCTCATTAGACGTGATCAAATTGGCTTTGTGTGAAATGTAACCTTGAATGTGAATCAGTTTGTTCCTAAGCTGATCATTAACTTTCTGTGTGAGCAGATCATAAATATCAAATTCTGGATGGATATGGAAGTAAAAGCATTGAAATAATTTCAGTCCTCTGTCCATCTACTTTAAATTAAATAAGAAATTAAGCATCTCTAAGGGTAATCAAGTTGAGTAACACTAAATTCTCAATGAAGAGATTCAACCTTGTACAGTGCCAGAACACAATACAATTCATTTTGGTGAGTTTCAATGTGACCAACTAGCAGAACTATGACTACAGAGCAACAATGCTTCCCTATTTCACCAAGTCAGTGTTATAGAGAAACATGCTATAGGAGTTGTTTAAAGAGGTATCTTTCTAATCAGACGGTTTTACATGTAGAATATCAGGCCAGGGATCTAGTTCAGCGGCACAAATGCCTGCCTGGGAAGTGCAAGGCCCTGAGTTCGATTCCCAGGACAAAAAAAAATATTTGTAATTTAGATACATGTAGAATATCTAGGACAGTTCTAGCTAATGCTGATAGCTGTGACACAGGAAGTGCTCACTAGACACATGCCCTGTCATTCTCAGAAGTGTCCTGGTTTGGATGAATTATATCAGAAAAGCAAGGAGCAGCACGTTTACCTGAAAACCACTGCTAGTAGTGGCCTGGTTTACTGCTTTGCAGAACCAGAAGCTGAGGGTATGAAGACACTCGACCGACCCAAGAGAGGCAACTGATTCACACTAAGAAAATTACAAAAGATTGAGCCTTAAACCACAACACTGTGCTTTTAACTTCTGAAAAATGAGCCTGCCACGTAGAATGGAACCTAACATTGGTGGGCTAATACGTTCTCTCCCTTGGAAGGTGGTCTCCTTAGAAAGCTCATGATCACAACCATAATCCTGTGGGTGAGACGAATCAGAGTGATAGTTACAAGCTGGAGAAGCTGAAGAAACGTGCAAGGCATATTTCAATACTTACTACCCACAGGAAGTGCATCTTTATCCTATGAAGAGTTTTTCTTTGTACCCCGGAAAATGGCCTTGATTCCCTTTCCAGGAGATATGAAGGGTAAGCATCAACTAAAGGTGCAGAATAGGGGTGCAGAGTGCCAGCCAACTCTCTGTTCTTTACTAATATAAATTTCCAGTTCCCCCTCCCACTGGTAAAGTCTGTTGTGTCAGTGACAGACATCTGATGCCCCGGGATCACCCAGGAAGTCTTCTTCACACCTTTTTTGCAACATCAGAGGTTAGAGATCCTACATGTTAGCCACCATCCTGTCCAATACCAGCATCCCATTTCCCAGTAGGTAAAAGACACAATGGCCAGAAGAGGGGTAAAATCAGCTTTATTACTGGATTGGAGAACACATCTGAGCTCTGAGGCCTATGTGTGCTTCTTTCTTCCTCTCTGAAGTGATGACAGCCGAGCCCACTGGACATGCTCGCTGGACTTACCCACCCAGTATACACCAAGGCTGGAACATGGAAAAGATGATCCCGGCTGGGCCCACCATGGGCAGGTCCTGCTGAGTCTCTACGGCATGGAGACTGGAAGCCCAAAACCAGGTCCAGGACAGAGAGAAAGAGAGAAGAAGCAGGAGCACAGGTAAGCAGGGACCTTTAGCACATTATCTCCACCCAGCAGAGAAAGATGGCCCCAAAAGATTCAAACCCCATCAGCTGCAACCACCCCAGAAGATACCTCAAAGACAGAATCCTCTCTCTGATACTCTCCCTAGATTGACAGTGTTGGTGGGAGATCCTTCCTCTATTTGACTACACAGAAAATGTAGGAATATAGGGAAAGATCTCCTTCAAGAGACGAGATTGGAGCAGGAGCTCAGTGAACTACACAATGAATAAGGGCCATTTGGGCCAGCACATATTGACCCAAACAAAGGCACTAGGTAGCTCTGCCAGAGCCAGGTATGAGGTCTACAAGTCACCCTACTTCTAAGCACTAACCACTGAGTTCCTTTTCTAGCCTGTCTCTCTGTGAGCTACTGAGTAAGAACTTGCAGATTTAAAGGGCGCCAGAGCTGAAGGCCCATGCTGCTTGACCCCTAGGGTCTTCCTCCTGGAAGGAAGGCCCCCTTTCATGTCACTCAAAGTAACACACGTCGATTTAATCTTCAGGTATGGAGTTGCGGTCCTTGTAGGGAACCTCAGCAGACCTTTCAAGCCTCCACTGAGGAGAGGGGAGCAGGGAAGTCGAAGGGTGAGATTCTCTCAGGGCCTGTGAAAGGCAGGATGAGAGGTCTAACAGTCAGAATCACAGGATGAAGAGTCAGATGCCACTCCCTGTGCCCAGGAGGCCCCCTTCTGACCAGGAGTGGTGATATCCTAATTTCTAACCCTCTAAAAGCCTTTGTCCCATTCCTCTATGCTTTTCTATTAGCCTGGTTATCTTAGAACAATTAATTAGACCTTAGCTATAGTTGAGTACATTTGCAGTGCTAATATTTCTGCTTTGGTCCTGCATGAGTTTTGCAGAGGGTTAATCTCACCCCATTACCTGTGATTCTTTTTATACTATCACCATTAATGGGGAACCTCATTTTATGGCCCTAAAGGGCATACTAATATGGTTTCCAACAAGTTGACTACACTGTACTTTAAATAAAACTGAATAATGGCAAAAATATTTTACCCCAGAGCACTTTTATTAGGGATTCCCGCTACCATATTAACATATAAAACAATTTGGATGTTGACATAGAAATGCATACTTCACTATACAAAGATAAGGCTCCAATCACAGTAACATGGCCCCATATCTCTGAATTTCAGTCTAATCAATTCATTGTAAATTCTCCCCACAGTTATGTTTATAAATATTAGACAAACCACAAAATATACTCCAAATACATGGCATTTTATAATATGCTCCAAGCACAAATAGAAATACATGATACTTTACCTACATTTTTTTCATAATCCAACTTGCATTACCATTAAAGACAAGACTGTGTGTGTATATGTATTTGCCATATGTGTGTGTACAGATCACAAATGTACACACAGTAATTTTCATGGAAATTTTAAATCTTTGAGGCTGTGGTATTACCCACCATGACATCTGAGAGGAAAAGGAACAATTTCCTCAACCAGGACAAAATAAGCACAACTACATATGAAAGGCATATTGGTTGTGTCTATACAAATACACACATATGTACAGGTTTATATATAAACACACACCCCAGTAACATGGAATATACATATACTCACACACTTGCTTTGAACTCTGTATCTCACCAGATTGTATACTGTCCATCCTTAGAAGCAATGCTCTCATCTGATTCAGGCAACTAGTGACAGCCTGCTAATAAAACTTAAATGGATATTTCTAAAAGGCTCTGATTCTATGCCAACTACATGGCTTTCCACAATCCCAGTTTTACTTTTGATGGCTACTGTTGAAACTCAGCAGACCTTATCCTGTCAACTCCTTTACCTGAAAACATTTCTATTCCACAATAAAGTCTGTGCCTAAGAGAAGAGAGATGCTAGCTGGATATGTATCTTAATATGAATCTGTATAGTTAGACTGTATGTGACATTTGTCTTGTTCAAATACTTTATAATGGAAAATATATTACTTCCATAATGTTAAAAATTATTTAATATTGTTTTAACAAGTGAAGGCTTGATGGTTTGTCTTGGTTAGCATAATATGAAGTATAATTTCAAGGAGGACTAATTTATGCAGACTATATTGGATCACCCTTTCATCACAGAGGATGATTTGATGAATTAGAAGTCATATCATATGGGAAAAGGGAAAAAATTAACTTACTGTTGCAGGTTACAACCAAAGAAAATATATTTCTTTATCAGGATAAATCCATCAGAAGAAAACCATGCAAACTCAATAGCAAGTATATATATTAATGTGTTCCGCAGAAGGCCTCATGAACTGCTTTGCAAAACTCTCCTGCAAAATTAAATGCCTAATGAATCACGCAGAGCTCCATTAAATGAGCAAGGCTGGAATGCCTAACTTGGAAATTACACTAACAGACAGAACTGAAGTGTCATCAGAGTTGGGGAGAGATCACAGGTGGGCCAAATCTCTTTGTAAACGAAAGCAATGGCGAGTTCTCAACCCATGGAGCAGCCGTGTGCTCCGAGCTGTGAGCCCCAGGCTCCTCTTCCCACTCATCCCACAGCACTGGTCCCCACTGTGCACAGGGAAGCACCAGATCCTCTCTCTTTTCATGGATTTGATGGGAGGAAGTAACATACTAGAGGATTTGGCTCCTGTGTTTTTTGCTTATTTGTCCCTTCTGTTGTCTACTTCACCAAAGCTGAATTGGTTTGTCATCCGATGAGCTCTCTCCCTTTCTCCATGGAAGGTCTGATATGAGCTATGCTCTTAAGGAAACCAGGCAAGGGTAAGGGTATACTGCAAAGGACAATCGCTAGCATCAGAGGATATTCATTCTCTCTGTTCCTTTCTCTCTCTCTCTGTCTCTCTCTGTGTTACACACACACACGCACACACACACAGACACACATACACTCACACACGTAACACACTTTTTGAAGCTTTTTCCATAGAATCATAAGGAATGGCATGAGGGATGAAAAATTTACCTTAAAAGCTTCTCCACCTTTATTTATATCCACTTCAACACATTCTCATCACCTCAGACAGCAAGGGCACTGCTCTTTCCATCGCTGCACGCCTTGCATCATTATCACCTTCATAAAAGAGACCGTCCACTTACCACACTTGCTACCGCCCTCATCAGAACTCTCCTTTGCCACTTTCTATGCATACGATTCTCACCTGCTTCCACTCTTGCATTACTTACAATAAGCAGTTAACTACTATATCTTTCACTCTTGCGTTACTGTACAATAAGCAGTTAACTAGTATATCTTTCACTTTTCCTTTAAAGTTTCACTTTCCCTTAAGAACAATCTCCTTCTCCAGGCCCAAACATGTAGGCAAATGCAAAGGAAAAATACCACATTATCTTGTCCAGAAGTTTGAAAAACAGGACTCCCTGGGCCAACTCAGCACTCTCAGGTTCTACGTTCTCAATCTCCATCACCTTATTTTGGGGGCTTACTTACTACAGTGTCTTTCTACCCATTTTTCTATATTATACGCACATAATAACAAATTATGAGATTGTTCAGCCAAAAATATTTTAAAAAACAAACCACTGCCAAAACATTAAAAAATTCCTGATATACCTTTGTGCATTAGTCTTGCAATCTGTATACTTAAACAATTCCAGGAGGCTTGTTTTTGTTTGTTTTTTGGGTTTTTTTTTTTTTTTTGCTAAAAATTTACCAAAATAGTTTGAACCCATAAAAATATTTTTAAAAAAACAAAAAGAAAAGCCCAGCATAAATTTAGTGGTATAGGCATTGGTTAGAAGACATTGTGTTTACTAAGGATTATATTCAAAAACTTTCCTTTGGGTTTATCTTAAAATTCTGATTCTGAGTCTTATAGCTTGTAGTGGTGCCAAGTACTAAAAGCAGGAAAATCTAATTTGTCGAATGGATCATTATGTATTATGATAGAACAGATAAAGATGTTTACTGCACATTAAAAAATAAACATGTTTTTGTTTAAGGGCCATCTTTCTGGCTTGTAACTAAAATAACTATATTTGATTTAAACTTATTTCAATATATTGAATTATGAAAAGCTAACTTAAGAACTGCAGTAATCAGTCATGAGAAAGGATCACCTTTTGATGACCCCCACGACCATTCAGAACCAGGCATCTAATGAAAAGAGAACTCGCTAGTATTGAATATAGCCCTTAGTCATACAAGGCGCTATCCTCACGAGCACCCCAGCATGTAGAGCATGAGGCTCACCTTCCCAGCCACCCACTCCTTGAGGGGACAGTAGTACTCATAGTGAAACTGCTCAAACTCTGGTGTCTGGCGGATTTCACATAAGAAGGAGAGATCAATACCTGACTCCAAAAGGAGGAGGAGCAGGGGAAATACAAAGAGGAGCAGTCCCAGGCCCACCACAAGAAGCCTGGAAAAACTCTTGACCAGTGGATTCACCCGAAAGTGGCCGGTCAGAATGTCATAGCTCCAGGACAAAGCTCGGTGAGCCTCCTTCAGCTCCTCTTCTTCAGCAATCAAAAAGGCATTTTCATCTGCGTCCAGTTCCTCAAATGAATCTGTGTCTTCTCTTTCCAACTCGAGCCTAGACGAACAGTCAAACAGCATGTCAATCTCATCCTCATCAACGGGGGTGGGCAGCAGGCTGGCACTTGGGCTGTACGCTAGTTCGGAGATGGTTAAGGGCTCTTCTTTGATTTTATCTTCTTCTTCACTTGGGGGATCTTCATACCCCCGGGCTTCCTTCACTGGGGAGCTGGAGATCAAGGGAGCAGAACTGTCCTCTTTACGCAATGGGGAACCTGTAAAAAGACAGTTTTTCATAATTTTAAACTTCAGATTTTCTTTTTCCACACAAATCTGTAGGTAGAAACAAAATAATGTGTGGGATTTGAGGAATCCATGAAATTGTCCCATGTGATCATGACTGACAGCAAAGTCCTGTTAGTAACAAACCTTGTACCACAAGTGCTAAGGTAAACATACTAACCCCCAAATAACCAACACTTCTTAAATGGTTGGCAATGTGCACAAAATGGAAATGTGTGATTCTGATCTGCAAATCTCCAACTTTGATCTTGTTTGCAAGAATAAAATGACAAGAATTCACTATTATGTTATGAGTAGTATCTTCTGGAAGCCAACACTATCACTCAGTATGGTCTTATAAAACTATACTATATGGTACTATACTGTAGGGAAACTATAGAATCAGTCATTCAGGGATAATCAAATTGTCATCCTGATAAGATGTTTTCTAGTCTTCATTCTAGGAACACTTCCTGTGGTTCCTAGGATTATACACAGGTTGAGTATCCCTAATCCTAACTCTAACACTCACTGAAATGCTCTGAAATCCAAAAGTGCTCAAAAGTTTTGGATTTCAGAGCATTTTATATGTCAGATTTTCTGATCAGAGCTTTTACTTACCCAGTAAAATCTATGCAAATGTTCTAAAATCTGAAAATCTCTGCATTTTGAAATACCTCCAGGTCCAAGCACTGTGGGTAAGGGATGCTCAGCGTATAATCCCAATCATATTGTGTGTACAATATACACTTTGCTCACTCCATGGAATATTTTAACTGAAACACTGTGTATAATGACATATACTTTTATTGGTATTTATAAGAGATGACAAATTTTCTATTTAGTTCATACACTAAATTAATTGTCTACTGGTAAACTCTTTGATTTGTGGTTATAAAAATGCTCCAAGATGTGTTTACTAATAAAGCTTTTCCCCTCTCATTTAAGTTCATTTTCCAGAGATAGATATCTAAAGGGCAAATTGCTTATTCAAAGCAACATAAAAGGTTTCTGGGGGAGAAGTTTTTCTCAAAACCTTCCTTTCTAGATGGGAAATCCAGCTACATAGGCATACTCTCCTAATATTCAGTCTTGGGTTCTTAGTGGGAAATAAAGACAGGATCAGAGAAGTGTCCTCCAGGACAGATCTACAATACAACACTAAATGGGCAGCCAGCAGGTAATTGAAAGCTGAAATGCATTCCATCACTTCTCTCGCATTAAGGTATGCACAAGTGCATTACTGCTTTTATCTTTCAAAGCTCAACATGTATTTCCTGATAGCTCTGCTCAGAGTGCACTGAGAAGCCCAAATGAAAAACACCATAAAAGCATGCACCAGGCTGGGATGGTGGCACATGCCTGTAATCCCAGCACTTGGAAGGCTGAAGCAGGAGGATTGCTTCAAGTTCAAGGCCAGCCTGAACTTCATAGTGAAACCCTGCCTCAGAAAGACAAAACAAAGTATACACCATATACAAATGGCCAGTGAGCACATGAAAAGATGCTCAACAGCATACGATCTTAGGGAAATGCAAATCAGAACCACCCCGTGAGACACCACTTTGTGCATATTAGGATTGCAGTATTTTTTTAGAAAACTAAAAATATCAAATGTTGGTGATGATGTGTAAAAATTAGAATCCTGTACACTGCTAGTAGTTATGTAAGATGGTTCAGTTACTGTGGAAAAGTTTAATGTCCCTCAAAAAGTCAGGGAATTATTATCTTTTTGAGTTCTTATTCTCGATAGTAATCCTTTGAGGAACAATGAGAATTATTATCTGACCCTGCAATTCCACTCCTAGGAACAAATAAAAAAACAGGTACTTACGCAAATACAGTGGTACTTTGGTTCACAAAGTTAATTCTTTCCACAATTCTGGTCAGAATTTAGTTGCAACCAAAATCATGGGAAGAATTAGGTTCATGAACTGAGGTATCACTGTACTTGTATTCACATGTTCACGGTTGCACTATTCCATTAGTCAAAAGGTGAAAACAACAGAAATGCATATCAATGGGTGAATGGCTAAACAGAATCTGGCCCATCCAGACGACAAGGTATTATTAGCGAGCCGTGAAATACAACGGAGTACTGACACACACTACAACACGGAACCTCAAACCATGTGCTAAGGGAAAGAAGCCAGACACTAACGGTCTCGTAGTGTGTGGCTCCATTTATATGAAATACTGGGTACAAGCAAATCCATGGGAACAGCATGCACTTCGGTAAGGGAAGGATGAGGGAAAGGCAGAAATGTGCCATAAGTACTTAATGGGGAAATGATTTCCCTTAGCCATGATGAGAATGTTCTGGAAATAAAGGTGTTTGCTGCACGCTGTCCTAAATGCCACTGAACTGTACATGGCAAAACGGCTTTTTTTGTGTTAGGTAAACTTAACTTCAATATAAATAACCAGCGTAAGCCACCAGTTACCCACTACCACACAGCACTCCATGAAACCCGAATGCAGAAAATAAGCACAGTGCACAGAAGGATGAAATGAGCTATGACTTCCCAGAGGGCATAGTGTCCCCTGACGCACATGCGGCACCTCAGACTCCCTCTCAGGAAAGCAGTGAGTTTCCCACACTCTGTGTGAAGGATACCGCTGCTCTGCAGCGACCATCTCCACCACGTGCACAACCCATGTGTGTATGTGCAGCTAAGTGTCCGATAAGCAACCCTTGCCCTTTATCTTCTGTTGCCTCTCTTCTCTGTGATCACCGGGCAAGGGGAACCTCAGGTCTCCAGGCTGCAGGGTTTGTTGATAGCAACCCCAAGCTTCAGTTGCTCAGCCCAAAAGCCATGGCCTCCTCCGTTCACACCCAAGTTCAACCTGTCAGCAGCCCAGGTCTCTACCTACAAAATGGGCCCTGAACCAAACTGCTTCTTGTCATTTCCACTGTCACTTCTCTGACCCAAATTGCCATGCTCTCATCTAGATTACAGCAATGGCCTCTTACACACCTCCCTGTCTCTGGTGCGGACCCTGCGGCCCAGCAGCTGGAGGGAGCCTTTGACAGCAGAAGTGGACCATGCTGCTCACTTGCCCAGTGCCCTCTAGTGGTCTACCTCCTCAGGAACAGCTGTGTCCTCTTTTCTGTCCCTCTCTGCCTTCACGCCCCTCCGCCTCACAGTTGCCCTGCTGCCCCTCAACACACCGGTCCCCTTCCCATCGGGGCCTTCGCTCTTGCTGCTCACACATGTTCATGCTCCTGCCTCTCGGCTGTCTTTAATCAGATGCCCCCTCTCGGTGAGGGCTTTCCTGGTCATGTAATACAAAATTTCAGTCCCTATCCCAGTACTCTTTATTCCCCTCCTGGATTTATTCTTCTTCTGAGAAGCCCAGGATATAAGTAGAAAAACAAAGTATCTTCAGGGGGACAATCCTAATGACTGATCCGGGGGTCACAAAGCCAGGGCCTCCATAGGCCAGGTGGATGCCTAACGAGACTGGTGTGGGACAACAGGGAATCATGGTGATGAGAAAGAATCAACCATCTTGGTGTTCCATAAAAACTTTAAAACTCAAATTTTAAAAATGTCCAAGTAATCCACACAGAATGCACTTGTGGGTCTTGTCTGGCATACGGGCTGGACTCAGTCTGTGTTGCCGTCGTTAAAAAATCAGCTGGACTTCAGATGTATTGTGTCACTTAGGTGTTGTAGATCACTGATCTTGATAACAGAAACAGTCATTCATTTTTCTGAAAAGGAGAAGGCAGCTAAGGAAATAAGTGCTTTCTTCCTTTTCTTGTCTTTTTTTTTAACCCCAAGTGTTAGGTGCCGGAGATTCTTATTACTTTCCCTCATCTCTAGGCTCCAACTGCAAGGCAGCTGGCTACAGTGGAAGGGGACCAGGTTGAAGTTGGACAATCCCGGGTTTAAGTCCCAGCTCTGTCATTTACCCATAAGACTTAAGTTATTAAGTAGCTAAAGGTTACTTACTATTCTTGGGGCTCAACTTGCTTAACTACAGAAGAGGAGTAATACCACTTCAGGCTGGGCTGAGGTAAATGAAATGATGGCATCTAAGTGCCATCTATAGTTCAAAAAACTCCGAAAATTAGATGTTACTATCTCCACAAAAAATAGTAGGCAACATGTGATCTATTATCAAACATCACTTTATCAACATGTACATTAGTTTTATCATAAATCCACTATATACAAAGTGAATTCTATTGTAATTTGTTAAACATGTTTTCTTTATTTTCCTAATGTGATAGCTTTTAAAAGTTTCCTATGGGGCTGGGGATTTAGCTCAGCAGCACAGCGCCTGCCTGGCAAGCGTGAGGTCATGAGTTCGATTCCTGGTACCAGAAAAAAAAGAAAAAAAAAAGTTTCCTATGTACTTGTTATGGTGAATTTTGACAAGAATGTCCAAAGAGTCTAAAAATACTAAATTAGTAATACTACCTACACTGCTTCATTAAATTTATTTTGCTACGAATTTATTTATATCCTCATCTATATGTGAGGAGCTGAATATATTCAAAAGCTCAATTAGAAAGATTGAGTTCTTTTATGTTTTAGAAGAAATAATTATTTAGGAAAAGGAAATCATTTTCCCATTTATATAGCTATCAGACCAATTAAAATTATAAAATAGCTACAAAGATTCCAACACATAGGAAACAATAATTATTATTACATGTTAGTATAATTACATGTTTTATACCATTATTATTATTTAATTTGAAGAAATACCTTATGAAGTGAACTAGCAAAAATCAAGAGAGATGCTGATGGACAGATGCTGACAGCTACTGATGAACAGGCAGAGTGCATGCTGGGTATAGGCAAGCAGTCCGCGCACCGCCCATCCCATCAGCACCATTCACGCCAATCCCAAACCATGACACAGCCTGCAGATACATCGTGCACCGCCACACAGCCTACACAGTAGGCTGCTGATGGATCTGGCTGCTAGGGAAGCTGTTCTTCAGAAACTACAGAGACTCCTTATGACAGCAAAGTTA